TGGGAAAAATCACGTGTCCACAGCATTGGGTCAGATAGGCTGAGGAAGACTGAGTGATTCGGTCGAAAATTTCTGGTGAGTCAAATTTTGAGTTGGAGAAAAGTTTAAGTTTTTCATAATGCACCATTTCAAGTTGACCCCAAAATCTATTTCGACCCTTGTTCTCTATTCATAATTTTGTAACTCATTGAAATTCAAGTCATTGTCTTTTTTCTAGGAGCTAACCATACTCTGCCATCCTCTATGTAAAGTCTACAGACTAAAATTATGTCTGCCAGACAACAAAACACAGCCAGAACAAAAAAAAAAGACTTCAAAACTCTTTCCTACATCAATCCATCAGACTCTACAATCAGACTGTATAATCTGCATGGTACTTCTTATGTCTGGGAGGTACAGTTCATATTATAAGTATGTATATATTTATGTATATATGTATGTAACATTATGTAATGTTATGTGTTTGTTTTAATACTGAAAATATCAATGTCATTCAAGCAACATCATAATGTGCAATGTATGCCTGCAAGGTTGATATAATATATTAATAATAATAAAAAATTGAATTGAATATACCATAGCCAACAAGTAACACTCTGTCATCCTACATGTACAGTGTAGTTGTGTTATAATCAGACATAACCATGGCAGTGACCTTTACGAGAGACAATCCAGGAAGGTCGCTCCTTTATTACGTGACGTAATCTGTGCCACACCTAACGATCGCCCGCGCTGGCTAGCTGACAACACGACCTATTACAGCATAGGTCATACATGTAGTCAAGACTTAGGTCTGTTGCTTTGCTTCGTTGCAGATTACTATTACTACTAGTGTTGAATTTGATAATCTGGGAAGAATTAAGCAGAGGGCATGCCCGTAGCCAGGGGGGGTTCGGGGGGTTCGGAAGAAACACAAGGCTCAAAGGTCCACTTTTTATGTAAAGGTCCACTTTTTGGTCCACATTTTATGGAAAGGTCCACTATTTGGTCCACATTTTATGGAAAGGTCCAAGATTTTTCTTGAAAAGATGGAGTGGAATCGTAGAAAAACTGCTCCCTTTGTCATTGAATAAAAATTTATCTCTGATTTTTTGTTGGAAATCCCCTCAAAAATGCACGAAATGCCATTATAGAAGGTTCATTTTTCAAAATTTTCCGGGGGAGCATGCCCCCGGACCCCCCTAGGAACCTCGCGCCTTCGGCGCTTGCCTCGCGCCTATGGCGCTCCAGGTCCCCTCAAGCAGTGGGAAGAACCCCCCCATTCAAAATCCTGGCTACGGGCATGGTAACTGAGTTGTGCCCACTTCATGTATGCTTGTGCAGTAAATATCATTGAGACTTTGGATCACAGTTGAAGTTGGAACACGGCAATGCTAAGCAGTCCAAGTTTCACAAACATTGTCATGTCTTGTCTGTGTAAATGCATGCTGGGCCCCATTGGAAAGCAGCTTCTACTATAGCTGAATGGGCTACCCAGCTGTTTCCTGACGATATAAATAAACAAGTAAAATCTGAGATTTTATACCTCTGCGCTTATTATTGTATATTCTTATATAGGGTTTTAAACAAAGAATTTATCGAGACCGGACACCCCTCTGTGTGAGGGGTCATATACGTGGACCAGGCCGAGAATAGCTTAAACACGCCAAAGGTCAACGGTCGCGACCACTTTCACGCTCAAAGGGGTATTTTGGGGCCAATTTTCACGCCCAAAAACACATATACAATAAAAACAAAAGAGCGTGCATCATCTGCAGCCCAATAGCAAAACATACACCGAGTCTCAAAAGAATCCGTCCACCCAAACGCGAAAAACAGCTGCGAACATGAAAATCTACATCTCTTAGAAAACCCTTCCGCGGAAGGATGTCTCCTTTCCCGGAGGTAATAAATAAATGTGCGAGTTCTGACCTCCGATCCTCCTCTCCAGCCTGTCGTCCAGCTCCCCTTCCTTCTGAATCGCCTCCTGCGACACTTTGGGAGCGTTGGGGAAGGCCAGCAGCACGATAGACATGTTGTCTCGACTCCCCTAAAATACACAAATACAAAAACATACTGTCAACCCTACTGTAGTACTTACATTGTCCTGTAGTACAAGACATACTCTCAACACTAGTACTTACATTGTATCCATATCTGTATTTGTATCGCCAGTATAACAGCCCTTCGGCGTAACACAACAAAATTTGCATTGAAGAGACATGCCCTGCCAAGGTATATTTCTGCTAAGTTTCATCATAATAATTATTTGTCAACAGAAAGAGAAATAGAGAAACTCTGGGAATTTCTAGCTGTCCAACATTAAGGTATTTTCCATATTCCATTTTCTCTAATTTCTAAACATGTCTTTTTCTTCCTAGTTGTTGCAGTTTTTCCATCTATCAATGCAGTGGTTTGATTACAACTTCAAAATTCGTTGTTTAAATATTAACCCAGCCTTTTGTGTTGACTTCATGGCTCCAATCGTAGTATTTGGGGCTATAATAGGATGCCTAGACCTGTTTTTAATTAATTTTTTACCCGTCTCTTCGTATTTTTTCTGAAAAAATCCGAGAACCAACAAATCAAATTGGTATATGGCCTAAGGCTGGGAATCAGAGAAATGGTTTATTCGAGAGAGAATGGTTTATTCAATGTAAAAAACCCTCCGGTTTCTGTACACAAACACGTCCTTCAAATATTATCAGGACTCAAATAAGCATTAGACATTACAAATGAGAATCAAGAACAATCCCTGGAATATACGACATCACTAATATTACACGACTTAAATTTTAAAAGTCTATAATCAGGAAAACAAGATGGCAGACATATCAGCAGACTGGCGTGCCTCCTGTTTACCTAACCTCCAGGGTACGCCCACATGACGTCATGTGCTATTTATAGCACATCAGGCCAGGCAGCGGAACAATACCTTTCACCTTCTGTGAATGGCGACCGTGTGACGTTACCAGTCACCCAAAAAAGGCGGGAAAACTCGCCGCTTTGTTGGCTCTGAGTGAAAAATTGCATCATCATGCAGGTACTGAGGTAGGTATACAAACAACACATTGGTGTTGTGTTGTTTCAGCACTATTTTACAAAACTGAGAGGAGCAAGTTAGTGTATGTACATGTTCAAAAATGAATCATATTTTTCCAATCTTTGAAACCCTTAAAATCTTTACTGTGTGAATACCACATTACAGACTTACATAGTCTTTTACTAATTAGTCTATTTGTACATCTAACATGAGAGAGAGAGAATGGTTTATTCAATATAAAAACCTTCTCAGAACCAGTGCTGAATTGCGGTTTCTGTACACAAAGTCACAAACACGCCCTTCAAATATCATTTGGATTTACGCATTATACATCATAAATAAGAGTCTACATCCTATAAGATCACTAATGTCACCACTAATAACATCCACTTTAAAGTGTGTAACAAGAAAGGTGACGTTTTATTTTCTGCCAACAGTTGTTCCCTATGAACATCCATAAGTACTGTGTACCTAAACCCACATTTAGGTTCAGGCCCAGATTCAAGTCCAGGGGTTTAGGATCAGTTCCAGACTCGTAAGTGCAGACCTAAACCCATGGCATATAGTATACAAAATTGCATGTTGGTAACATTGCAATCTTGTTGGTCGGCACTTGACGATGCCCGATGGCAATGTTTTCTTCATTTTGAACCAGACTATGCAAACTATAGAAGGTTTTAGTTGGTTTGGAAAGAAAATGGGTATGTGACTTTTTTTTAATAAGTCTGGAATCGGCTCTTGACTTTAATTAAAGTTTAAAGTTTTTTTTTACTTGAACCTTAACATTTTTACAAGTTCGGAACTGGTCCAGCAAACTCGTACACAGCACTAGCATCCCTCTGAGCAGCCCTCCTGCCGGGTGCCTGCCTGGTATGTCCAGCATGCTGGGTGCCTGCATCACTCTGCACTGCCAATGGTGCCGATCCCAGCCTTATAAGGCCACCAACCTCTGTAGACACTTTCATATCCAGGCCCTGTATCGCCGCATCCCTGATAGCACGCTCACTATCTCACAGTGACGTCCTACTCTGGAAATTCAGATACACCGTATCTCTTCTTCATATGAATCCAGGT